ATCTTTTAAAACTATTTTATACCTGTTGATGTCACATTGAGATTGTCTAAAATATTTTCAAGGCTAAATCAAATAATGCACAAATTTCTCGAATATGACATGCCAAAATTACAGAATGTGCTTGAATGTTAATGCGTTGGAGTCATACGGTACAAGTAAAATAGAACAAAATACTTTTAGATGTAGTAAAGTCTGCCTGTTTGTCTTTAAGTTTTTATAATATCCATACTTCAAAAAGAATTAACAAGGCAAAACAACAGAAGAAGAACAGATGTCTATAGCAAGGAAAGTGGTTAGAGAACCAGGTTTGCTTGTTCACAATTCAATTAATTTTTTTAAATGAACATAGATACTCCAAACAATTTATCAAATGTAAGCATAGTAAGAATACAATATTGAAGAATTCCGCATCTTAGTCTGAGTCATTAGTAAAGTCAAAGAGCTGCCAGAGGCCACCTTCTCCTTCTATGACACTCATTTTAGATTCAGGCACCACATTTTCCCATTCAGCCATCTTGTATTCCACCATCATTTGGGAGCTGTCTATGTCTTCAGACCACAAACTGAAGGGGTTTAGTGGTTGTTCACCTACACACCTACTGATTGGTGCTACAGTGGCTTGCTGCTGTAGTTTTAAGTGATTCTCTGCAGCAGACTTGTTGGTCATTTCCCAGTTGTCACAAAGAGAATCCAAAGGTACTCTGTCTTTTTGTTCACACTGAAGGTCTACATTCTGCTGGCTGTCCTTTGAGAACTTCATCGCTCCGTTTTTTCTCACCAGCTGTCTTTGTGGGAGAACCAAGGCTTTCTTTTCCCCCCTATAATTCAGTGGTTTTTGGCGCCTCCTAGGTACTTTCAGTGGTGGCATCGCATCAGTGACAAATCGGTTATCTCTCACATACAACGGGTTTTCAGCCTCCAGATGTCTATCTACATACTGTCCTCCATGGTCCTCTATGGATGCAGTGGATTGAACATCCACATGTGGGCTTGAAGGTCTGGTCTCAACTAATTGTTTGCACCATAATCTCTGCGAAGCATCAGGGGAATCCTCATCTGTGACTGCTGTCTGTTGTCTTTCTACAGGCAGAGCATGTGAATTTCTGTTTTGTGACTTCTGTGTTGTAAGTGGACACTGGTTCTGTTCTACTGCTTTTCCTGAATAAATGACAGGCCTGTTGCATATCATCTGGCTCTCGTGGTGTTTTTCAGCTGACATGACACAGAACCTCTCTAACAAACCAGGTGATGTCTGGACCTCACTGTCAATCATTCTATCAGAGCCAGGTCCTGTCATCGGCTTGTGAATAGAAATCAAAGTGCTAAGCTGAGACAGAATTTTTCCCAGCATACCCTGCTCCTTGCTCTGCTCTGCTTTCAGATGTTCCAGATCCCGTTGGAGGTTAAACATGCTTAAACTCAACTCTCTTGCAGCCAGACTGCTCTATTTAATAGAAAATAAATGTAGCTTTATTACCAATGGCAGTATAAAATACATTAGTATTAGCTTTGCATCTGTTATACCGCATATGCAGTCCTTACCTTGGCTTCCCTGTCTGCCATTTCTTTTTGTGTTTGGCTCTGCAGAGTCTCAAACTGACATGTTATACCTTCATTCACACTGTTTAAATAACCTTTAACTGCAACAGACAACATAATGTCTTAGGCTTATAAATAACAGCTACAACATTGAAAATACATTTAAAATATGTATCTGCTATTATCTGATCAATAATTATCTTTGATGATATGGTATTTGTGGAATGTAGGGTGCCAGCATGGGCTAACTGTTAAGAACCATCTGCATTTAGTTAAAAGAATAAGCAAAACATACAAACAAAAACATACTTGTTTTTGAAAAAGTATCCATTTTCTCCACTATAACTTTGGTTATGTCATTACTTCCATCAATGCGATTTAACAAAGTCTCTCTGCTCTAAAAGGGAAAATGTAAGTCAAAGTCCAGTAGTATTAAACCCATAACTTTGTGCGATATAGACATTCTAAATGTGTTAAATATGCACGAGTGCCTTAAGTACAATACTTACATTTTCCAGAGATTCCTGCAATTGTAGAATTCCATGAGTGAGAATTTCCCTAAAACGGGGAAAAAATTATATTAAACAATATGTCAGGACAGAACCATAGCTACGTGGAAAAACTACAATAGGAAATTTAAAAACAGACACCAGGATGGTTAGAATAGTTTTTCATTGCACAAGGATCAAGAATAGACTGACTACCTTTCATGTTTTTCTTTGGCTTTTCTTTTCTCATCCTCAAATCTGTCCAACATGCCAACAAATTTGCCACCAGTGAAGCTTGAGATTTTGCCATCACCACCGAACAAAAACGGCTTAGAACTATAACTGCTGGACACCATAATTTCCTTAATCTGTAGAGGATTTAGACAATTTGGAATTAATATGAATTTTTAAATATTATTACATTTTACAGACTCGTTTACAAGAATGTCACATTCATTTTCATTTATTAAAGGTTTGTGGACCAAGAAAAAAACAAACAATCAAGAACATGTTCATTATATTATACCAAACCAAACATGGCATGTTCTACAGACCAAATAAATAGATTAGGCCTGAAATATTTACCTCCTGTGAGGTATGCTGAGAACCTCTGCTCTGTCCACTCATCTCCTGGGTAAACCCTTGTGAAATGTCAGAGCCCAACAGAAACTGGGAGTCACCCAGGCTGGAGACCTCCGTGAAGTTGGCCCCCCACCCAACGCAAAACGTCGGCAAAATAGTCTCAATCGTTTGTGCTCCGTTTGTGCTGGTTTGTGCTGTAAAAATTTTCGTTTGTGCTGCTTCGGTTTTTTAGATATTAAAAGAATATTTATAGGTCATTCTGAGGTCACTCAGCCCCCCAACATACTCCAAATTCACCCCAAATAGTCTCGTTCGTTTGTGCTTCATTTGTGCTGGTTTGTGCAGGTAAAAGTTTCGTTTGTGCTGCTTCGGTTTTTAAAAGCTGGAGTAGTCACTGGTTCCCGGTCCCTTACCATTCTTTATCCCTCTACAAACAGAACGCAGAATAAACATCAATATAAACACTACGTTACTAGGCCCTATTTCAAGGTAATTAATTGGTTAAGTGTAAATAATAGTAAAAGTTACCTGACAAATTCTCTAGTACAGAATTCAATTATGAGACATACCCAGAAGTTGCGGGGATACTCAACATCTCCTTTATATTCCAGACATTGGGCTTCATATCCAGGCTTTGAATGTCAACGCATTTATTTCCACTAGAAATAATAAACATGAAATCAAAACTACTGCAAAACACTTGTCTGTGTGTATTGATTTAAACAATGATTTTTTTGTTTAAAAAATATTCTAGAATTTATCTGAGCGAACGCCAAGTGTTACAAATGACTTTTCTCGCGCGACGCAGACGGCTGCCGTCATCAAAGCTGAGCTCGTTTTCATGACAAACTAGCGAGTAAACCACCGTTTCACGGGCTACACTTATTTAGTTCATTTAAAAAAAAGATACTTACCAGAAAATTACTTGTTTGATATGCAGTAATGATTCTGAAGCAACGTAAATCAATTCTGGCGCTCGCTGATGCTGGCAGTTACGGTTTTCCCGGGCTACAGAATTTAAATAGTTCACGAAGCCGCTAAACATATACAGTTTCTTCATTATTTCTAAGAAAGATCGCTAGATGGCGCTATTTAAATATTTAAATACTAAATAATATTGTAGTTTGTACCAAATTAGTATAAATGGATGATATATATAAAAAAAATTAGGTTTATTTCATTTTAGTTTGTATGCATTTTTTGCATACATTTATTGTTATTTATTTACGCTATAGTTCACGTTGCACTGCAGTTTATTAAATTGCGTGTTTGTAATGACATTATGGTGGCATTGTACAGTGTCTCATGTAGCTAAATCTAATAGTTATATGCTTGTGACATTTAAAAGCTTAGTGCGGTGGTATAGTGTGGGGATTTGTGAAAATCTCACCACTACTCTAGGGATTACTGATCTTGTTAAACTATCGCACAACTACAATACCATCCTTCAGCGTAGAAAAGCGGTGTGGTTCACCCACAGACTGTATAAAAACAGGGTTCACCATAAACCGAGTCGTTGAGACTAAACTGTATCCTAACAACCAAAACTACAAAAGCTAGTGTCTTCATAATACAAGTCATAGAGCTTAGAAAATGTAAAGCAACTCATTCTGATATTGCTTCTCACATATGTCCATTAATTTATTAATTTTTATAAATATTAAAAAAAAAACTATAATACGCCTATATGTTTTCAGTAAAAACGCTTTTAATACCACAACGAGAAATAAAAGCTGTAATCTTACAACGATATTGACTTCTGAGATCTGTTTCATACATTAGTTACTAACTGGAATTCGCATCACAGCCTGCGCATAAATTAATAATTAAAATGTTCTAATAATGATGAAATAATAAACGCTATCTAATAATAGCAACGCTACAACAGTAAAAGACTTGTATTTTGGCAGTGTAGTTTATTAATCAGGAAGTGAAGTCCCGTTGCCAACAGATTTCTGACACATTAAAACTTGCGTTTCACAGGTAAGTTCACGTGTTTATTATCATAAAATTGGAATTATGTCGTCGGTAAACGAAAGAGTCATGGCTTCTGTTTTATTTATAGATTGTTTGGTATCATGACATCCTAGTTATCCACACAGCAAGCTAAAGTAATTAGCCAGCTGCTCAGTAAATAGACTGTTGAAGAACTTGTTTGGTGGGGTAGCTTTTTTATACTGTGTCTTTATAACTGGTGTTAAATTGGGCTTTCTTACAGAATATACACCCACCAAAAAAAATAAAATAAAATCAGTGTAGAATTAAACGTTTCGAAAGGGGCCAGTCGTGAGATGATGAGTTGTATAATGTTCACAGAAAACCTTGATGGCTCACTCTTGATGTTGCCCCACCCTAAATTTTTATTTAAATATATAAAATGGCATGTTAGGTTTAACCGAAAACAATTTACCTCCAGTTGAGGCATTTTAGAACTTAAACATAATGGGTTTCAGATCCATATTGACTCCATCTAACCCACAGGAGTAACTAATCTCATCATGAGTAGAGTCTACTACATCCTCAGTGCTGCTCTTTTTGTGCTAGAAATGCCAGAGACCAAGGTATCTCTTCAGGAATCTTTGGGATAATTCCACACAACTCTCAGTATGTGAGAGCCATAACTATTGGGAATGCATTGGTTACTGTAATCCCATGCTCTAAAACTGAATTTAAGATCGATTCCATTCTTGATGTGTTTTGATTATGTGTGTGTTTCAGGCGCAGCTAGAAAACGCCAATGACTGTTGTGAAAGAATAAAGAGAATGAATGAAACCTGTGTGAATATTACACACTGTGATCCTGGTATGTTTCATAAGTAATGTCATGTCGTAAAATTTAAACAGAGCTGCAAAAAACTGTGCCTTTTTAATACAACATGAGCAAATTCATATTTTTCAAGGCAGATTTTGTTCCTGTGAAATGTTGTATGTAATTGACATGGACATTTGGTATGATTGATATATATTTTGTAACCTTGAATCCTCCTCTAGGTCTCCTTCAAGTTCAGGAGAACAGTACAACATTTTGTGTGTCCTGCGATTTAACAGAGCAGGGGAATTCAACTTTACTTAACAATAGTAAGTGCTGTGACATGGTCATAAATGAACATCTGTACAGTCTAGAACAGTGGTTCCCAAACCTGTCCTGGAGGACCCCCCTGCCCTGCACATTTTGTATGTCTCCCTAATAAAGACACACCCAATTTAGTTCTTGCAGTCTCTACTAACGAATCAGTGGAATCAGGTGTGTTAGATAAGGGAGACATACAAAACCTGTCCTGGGCAAGGGGGCCTCCAGGACAGGTTTGGGAACCACTGGTCTAGAAGATTGCTTATAATGTATTTTAATAAGTAAACACACTTTGTGCACATGCATGCACCATTCCTCTATCATGATTTATTGAAATGTTTAAGCTACAATTTGGGAGTTATTTGACTAGGAGTCATTTGATTTTTAAAGGAATAGTTCACCAAAAAAATGAAAAATTGCTGAAAATGTACTCGCCCTCAGGCCATTCAAGATGTAAATGAGTTTGTTCCTTCATTCGAACAGATTTGCAGAAATTTAGCATTACATCACTTGCTCACCAATGGATCTTCTGCAGTGAATGAGTGCCATCAGAATGAGCTGATTAAAACAACTGATGAAAACATCACTATAATCCACGAGCAATCCACACCACTCCAGACCTTCAATTAACATTGTGTGAAGTGAAAAGCTGCATGTTTGTAATAAACAAATCTATCATCAAGACATTTTCAAACAGTTGCTTCCGGCTAAAATACGACTCCATAATATTACTTTCTAAAAGTCACCTCGTCTGAATCAGAAAAGAAATATCAATAGATCAAGCACTGTTTACAAAAAAAAAAAAACAGTCCATTTGGTGGATATTGATATGAGAGGAAAATGGAATGGGCTTTTTTAATGGAGGAAGAGTAATTTTCAGTAAGTCAATTTTCAGCAGATTTTCATTTTTGGGTGAACTATTCCTTGCATTACTAGAAGGGTTTTTTATGATGTATTTTTTTTTGTTTTTTTTAAATCTTTTTATTAATTTCATTTTCAATTCTCCCTCTAGCAAGGACTAGTCACATTCTCGTACCTTTAATCTCAGTGATTGGTAAGTTACTACCATTGTTTAATGATAGTTATGTGGGCACCTTTAAAACCTTTTTTTCTATATTGATTTGCACTCCGTATTCTCATCTTTTGTGCATTGTGTCTGTAATGGCAGGTGGTCCAGGTGTAGCAGCTTCTGTCCTTCTAGGAACTCTACTGATCAGCCTGGGTCTCATCCTCTCGGTTGCATCTTTCTTTTACCTTAAGCGTTCCAAACGCCTTGCTGGTGTCTTCTACAGGCACAACAAGGGTAAAAAAAAAGATTTATAATCCATAAATATGTAAATCAGTTAAAGGTTTGGTTGCCTTTATTTACCCAACTGTGTTGAATACTTTATTTATGTATATATATATATTAATTGTTGTTGTTGTTGTTGTTGTTATTATTACTGGTGGTGTTTATATTCAAGATATAAGTTATTGGGGGGTTGTAAAATTGTGTAATTTTCTTTTATCAGCTTTTATATTCCAGCCAAGTGAGACAGTAAGACGTTAAAGGTTTGGTTGCCTTTATTTACCCAACTGTGTTGAATACTTTATGTATGTATATATATATATTAATTGTTGTTGTTGTTGTTGTTATTATTACTGGTGGTGTTTATATTCAAGATATAAGTTATTGGGGGGTTGTAAAATTGTGTAATTTTCTTTTATCAGCTTTTATATTCCAGCCAAGTGAGACAGTAAGACATCTATAATCAATTTCTTTTTTTGTTTTTGTCCAAAAATGTTTGATGTTTTATTAACAAACACAGCATTGTGTGGATACCAATGTACTAACTTCTTCATTTTTCCTCCAAGGCTGTCATGTTTCCAGAAGCTACATCTTCAGGTAGGAGAAATTTGAACTACTTAATCTGTATTTTGAATTTAATAGTCCAAAGTGGTGGTGCATCCTAATTCCAACTGTGCTAAATTTCAAAACATCAATTGGGAATATCTGATTATAAAAACGTTTAGTAAAATAGCTAATTCTTACTCCTATATCTACAGTTCGCAAGCCAAGATATGTTAGGAGGGAGAGGCCATCAGCATCATCAGCATCCAGCAGTGCAACTGTGGCAAAAGGGACAGTAACCAAGGTATACAATGTGTGACCAGCCTTCAAGGGCCAGCTATGAGCACCCTTATAAAACATGGGTCTGTCCTAAAGCACTGTTTTCTTATAGGATTTACTTTTTTGGTGAAACTTTCCTTTGTAGGCTACATGAAGAAGTGATATGTCTTGATGTAGGATTTATCTTTTTAATTCTCTCTTCTTTTCATTAAAAGTTATTTATTTCTATTTATATATTTTTCACACAATACATTGTTCCTTTTTTTTAAGAGACCAGGTGTTGCACTACTAGAGTATTTTTGATTGTTAAGCTATAATTAAGTCTAGTAAGTTGTTTTTGAAAGAATTGTGTAATGTTTATATTTATTACCAGTATTTTTGTGTGATATTGTTCTTTTGAATCTTGTGACATTGTAACTAGGATCCAAAACAAGACTTCCGGAGTTAGTCATATTTGCACACTACCAACTCCTCAAACCTCATCAAGTAAAAAAAAAAAAAAAAGACATTAGCATATTTACCATTTGGTTGAAATCATTGTTTTGTTCCTGTATACACAAATAATATATTTTCTATTAATCCTGTACCATCTCCACAAATTCCGTTAGCACATATTAATGCCATATACATATGCTGGAAAATACCCTGTATGAGTATTGAAAATACTCCTGTCTTGGGTTTCAATGTTAACAGCATATTCATGTTCTACTGATAAGTGTGCATGAAATGTCCACCTGTTAACAATGGCACATTCTTCACTATATTCAACATAAAGGGTTCTGGCTTGCACCAAAGTTTTTTCCCAGGTAAATAATGATAAATTCTAATTTGCTAGGCCTTAAAGTTGCAAACTTGCTGTTAATACACAATATATAAGCAAAGTTGTGAGATGATGAGTTGTATAATGTCCACAGAAAACCTTGATGGCTCACTCTTGATGTTGCCCCACCCTAAGTTTTTATTTAAATATATAAAATGGCATGTTAGGTTTAACAGAAAACAACTTACCTCCAGTTGTGGCATTTTAGAACTTAAACATAATGGGCTTCAGATGTATTTATTTGAGCATTGTTTTGTAGAGTTTAATATCTTTAGTATGCTGGATTAATCAAAAGCAAGGATTGTTTACTTAAGGTGGAGGTAAATGATGTGGTTTCGTGGGGATACATCTGTGATACTGATTTAAATTCAACTTATTTCTCATCTCATCTTATTGGCTGTTGTGCAGCAACTGGAAAGCATGTCAGTAGATTTTGTATATGAATTACGTTTAGATGGATGTTGATTATGAACTTTTTTGTATGTTGATGTCCTTACAGAGTGAGTATTAATCATATATGATGAAGATTTCAGTGTTTACAGAAATAAAAGATATTTTGATTTATGAGAAACCATTAACTTTTTTTTTAAACTTGATCATAAAATATAATTTAAAAGTTGTTGCAAAGAGCCACAGTCCAGGTGGTGGCTGGTATTGATCATCAAAGACTCATTTGCCATATAGAGGTTCTGGGAAGTGCAGAGTAAGGTTGGGAGTGGTGGTTATAAAACTCTTTAGCATTTTAATTGCTGGCAAGTGCTATCATTGCTTTATCATCTGTAGAATAATTAAAATAGTAAAATATTAGGTTGGACTTGTGTCAGAAACCATTTCACATAATCAAACTTAACTCTTGTGCTCAGGAAACCACTCCTGTGAATGTCACCAGTTTATGTCTGTCTTTGGTAAACAGATGGAGGGACTTTGATCCCATTTACCTATAATATTATAAGCACTTCCTTATAAGACACAATAGTACATCAAAATGGAGCAAGTACCACGTGACTGTCTTTCCATTAGCTCAATCCTCTGTGATATTTATCATGTCTCTCTATTTAATACAATTGCAAATATACACATTTATAATGGATCATTTAAAGCATTCAGCACAAGTGAAGTCACAACAGTGGTTGGCACACTATACTGTAAAAACATAAGTCACTGTGCATACACCCTCAGTGAGACTCAGTGAAAAGAAAAGAAAAACCTGACTGTTGTTGCACATGTAAACACTTTCCAACAATTTTCCTTATACCTGGCTGCTTATCTCCAGGTGAGACAGAGAGTGGTAATATATTCAAACAACAGTCATGTGACTTTGAAAATGGTTTGAATTTATGGCCAATTTCTTTATTATTATGGTTTTCTTATGCATGTGTAATGGAAAAAACGAAACGTGATCATTTCCCATAAGCATTGCTTTTGTGGAACAAGATGAATAATAATAAACATGCAGACTGTTGTAGCTTAGTTTTTTTTAGAAGATTCTATTTATGTTAAAGGGATAGTTTACCCAAAAATGAAACTATTGTTATCATTTACTAACACAAGATTTTCCAAACTTGTGTGAGTTGAACACAAAAGAAGATATTTTAAAGAACCAAACAGTTGACAGCAGCTATTGATTTTTGATCACCTTAGTCACTTGCTATGCTTTGTCATTCTTATGTTAACTAAGGTATTCAATGGTAACGTGTAACCTAATCCTATCAGAAAATCAGTTCACTTCCTTCTCTTTGTCACCCTTCCTGCTTTTCCATAATTTACACATGTACGTGTATCAGACGGTGTATGTGTGAAGGAGGGGGATCAAAGAGAGAGAGAGGGAGAACAAGGTAATGATTTATGGTTTAACTCGCTTGAGTCACAGCTCAAAAGTATAATTTAAACTTCTGAAGAGCAGGTGACGGCAGTAACACGTTACCGGAAGACCAGGACAGACAGGTCTGGATAAAGTCAGGCATTGAAATACTTGTTTTGGGAACTTTTCAAACTTTTCGGCCATATTTGTATCCATCTACACGAAGAAGAAGCAAGCATCTTCAAGATAAAAAGAAGAATATTGTCTTCCACTTTCAAGGTAATAAGGTAATCCTGTTTTTTTTTCTTTAATCTTTTCAGTTTACACTGCCCCACCAAACATAAAAAATAAATAAATAAAATGAAAAACGGTTGATTTTTGTTTGATCAGCAATCATGTTTTTGTTGAGCTACTGTGAAACAACAGCCAATTTAGCAACTGTTAATATTAGCATTTGTTGGGCAATTGAACAAGCTTAGGGTGATTAGTAGGTTAATTTCATTTCATATTTTTAATGGAAAGGAAATCCTTTAATCCAAATTGGAGATGTGTTGTCTAGTCACAGTACAATAAATGTAAAAATGAGTAAGTCATTAAAATGTAAAATTATATGCATAATGGCAGTCCTTGTCTGAAACAGTATGCAATACATATTCCTTTCATGGTTGTTTTTTTAGATATTTGCATATGTTTTGTCTCAGCATCACCTATATATATCATATACAGCACTGCAGTAATGATGCCCATAGCAACCACATTTACATGTGGTTGTTATTTGCTATGCCAGATACTGCTAGCTTTCCATAGGATTATAAAATTCAAAAAGGATCCTGCTCTTTTCCTATTCATTCAGTTACATAGTAAGCATTCCATTAAAAGATCAGATAAGTTTTTCAGAACAGTTTAGCATTAAGATTTTTTAAAATTCAGTTTTATATATTTTTAGCAGTGCATCAGCCATATATTTTGAGTTTTACCAAGTCCTATATTGCCATACTTTAACTCATAAATGGATTCACTCAACTAATGTACACTTTAATTTTATGTAAATGAAACAAAAGATGATTGAAGTATGTTTAAAAAATAAATACATTGTTTTTCTCTTTTAAAATTTTACATTTAATTTAATGTGTTACTTGTTTCTTTGTAATTATTTGTGAAATGAACTAGCAATTTCTGAGTGAATTTTATTTTATTTTTTGTAGTGTAGGACAACAGCATATATATATATATATATTTTAAGTAATCATTGTGCCAATTAATAACTTGAAGGATTCATTTTGCATTTCAGATTTTCTTCTGATCACACAACAGGATGGAGGACCCGGAAGTATCCACAGCATCACGTACCAATTCAATGCGGCACCAACACATGACACAAGTGGCCTCCGGTGATGATCAGGACAATGCCTGGGATGCCGGTCCAGAGTGTTCAATCTGCTTTTGCGCATACGACAACACCTTCAAGACACCAAAGCTTCTTGAATGTACCCATACCTTCTGTCTGGAATGTCTGTCTCGCTTTGTGGCTATTTCACCAGAGCAGGAAGGTAACCAGATCACCTGCCCTCTTTGTCGGCAGCCAACGTCCGTGCCTGAGCATGGTACACCGGATCTAGCCACTAGCCAGGAAGTTTTGGGCCAACTTCCTGGCGACCAGCAACAACTGGAGAACGTTTTCCTAGATGGACAGAGGCTGTGCTACTCAAACCCAACGATACCCAACTGCATCTGCATTGACATTGGCGAGCATAAACCAGAGGAGACACAGAGGAGAGAGGAGAGAAGAGAGGGTTGTGGATACAGGCTGCTGCGATTCTTGGGTTTTTATGGGAACTGGAAGAGGCTTATGCTCTTCATCATAGTGCTTCTTGTCATCTTCTTGGTTATACTGTGGCCTCTCCAGTGCTTTACCATGTCAGAATGCTTCAGAGAATCACCAGGTATTCCAGCTACGCTCACTGCTCCCAGACCTACAGTGGGTACATAAGACACACAGGTGGACACAAGAAGTTCTTATTCAAAGTTCATGAATTGCAAATGACATTCAGGTTGTATTGGCATCAGTCTGAAAACATGGCTGATAAGCTGAAAACACAGCCACATCCTTTACAGCTTCATATGACAGGAAACCAGTATTGGTTAAAGTTCTACTTTCTCCTTAAAAACTCAATATTTGTTGCATGAACTTTCATTGCCATATCACATACTTCCTAAATGCCACTGTAAATATTTAAAATTATTTTCTGTGTCTAAAACAGATGAACAAAATAAACACTAGGGTAAAACAGTTTTTATAATTTAAATTTTTAATAGGATCCTGCTTGCAGGTTTGATTGCTTTGGCTGGAACCCCTTAAACACTCTTTGCACATTCTGTAAAATGATACGCATGCAATTTATTATTATTATTATTATTATTGTATGCTGTATGCTTATTTGCAAAATTATTATTAAGCATGTATATTAACTAATGCATTTTTAAAATGATTGTATTAGGAAAATATCTTTTGGAAAATATAAAACATTTTTAATCAAATGCATTTCTTTTTATTAAATGTTTCTCACTATATCTATTTAGGTATATTTTCACTACTAAATGAACTTATTTTTATTATTGCCTATTTTTCCTTTGTTTTTAATAAACGTCTATTATATTTACAGTAATGCTTCATGACACTATATAACACTGTCAGACTTTTATTACCATAGATAAGTGGCTATTGATCCTATTACTTCCTTTAAACCATAAAAGCGAAGGATTTTCCATCCAGCATGTTGTTTAAGGATTTAAACCTCCATTGAATAGCAGCTTAGCTGATCAGTGACAGATTCGTACCATCTCCCCAGAGAAACCCTATTTATAAATGTGAAACGGAATGGCCCTCTGAGAATGCAGGACACACACACACGTGATCCATGTGATCAGACACATATCTCTATTTATAACAGACCTGGACGCAGGGCCCCTCTCTCCCACACGCAAGGGCAGTGGGGGTTTGGAAGGTGAGCCAAGTCCGCGTCGGATCAACATTGAAGTGTTTTCCAAGCATAACTGACAACTAAAGGTAGGCAAAATATAAAAGAGATGAGATGTTGAAAAGATATTTAACGGAAACTGACTATGCAGAGTCTGTGGAGCTAGAACTTTGTGGAACTCCTAAGAGGAGTTTTTGGGTTGGAAATATTTTCCATTGGCCTATGCTGTGTGTACTAGTGCTGCTGTATCAAAATGAACCACTTAACCATGTACGCAATAGAAAAGGACATCATGCACAGGGTATCATTAATATTAAAACGCTTATAAAGAACTAAACAACACTCAGTTTTTGTATAAAGACCATGGCTGGATCAAATAATTATTTCACAAAATCAACAGTTTTGATGCTCCTGGGAAAGAAAAAAAAACTGAGCATAGCTGAATGCATTTCCTGTGTGCTAAATGCACGTCCACATGTGTTTGTAAGACAACGCCCCACAAACTAGATAAGATAAGACCATTTCTCATTAAAGATTGTAAATCATGATCGTCATTCTCGCCATCTAGAGACACATCTAGGTCATTTCTAAGCAAGGACCATGCAAAATATTTGTAAAAGGCAAGTCACCCAAACAGCACATCATGCTGGTATGTTTTATGGAACTCTTGTGAGACTATTTCCTCTCACTGACATCTTTCAATCCACAAATCACCTTGCAGTGAGTTGTTGTGAATACTCTGGGTACAGTCTGCTCTGGAGTCAGCTTGCAGTCAGGCCAAGATCATCCTCACAGGAGCTTTCGAGACAGTCTAAGCGTATCACAGTATTTTGTTTGAAATATTTTGGAATTTACTTGGAGACAAAAGGATATTTCTCATTTAATTTGTTGAAAAGGAGTTTGGGTTCACGCCTTTTGCATTTGATTGACCTGCTGAAAAAATACATGAGATTTTGCCTTTTGAACAGTTGAAATGTTTTCTGTGCAATTTTGCATGTGATGGTCACTGTCAAAAATGTTCAATATTCAATAACTAATCACTCGAACACACTTAAAAAACAGTGTTGAAGGTTTTTTCCCCCCTTTCTAAAATAGTTTTATTTAGCGGATCAATATAGATCTTTCAGCTGAGTTTTACCTTTTTTATTTTGTAACTAAAAATAAAAATTCTTACAACCATAAAATCTCATATGGTTGCTATTAGTGTTAATGTTATTATCTGTCATTCAAGTTAACTTTTAACCGACAGCCAAGATATTAAATTAGGTTTACATGCAAAGGCATGAAAAATGTATACCACATTTAAAGCATAGTTTATGGTTTGAGAAATTTCCCACAATACTTTTAAGAGTCTTAAATTATTTTTTGATGTCCAATATTTTTTTTTCTATTGTAAAAGTTTGATGCCTTTAAATTCAACTCTAGCGATTTCAGCTCTTGTTGGTCAAAAGTTTGCATGAATGACAGAGGATTTTTACATAATATTTTTTTTATACTGTATAAATTTATACTAATCAGCTGAATAAAATACTTTACTGTTTAAAAGTTTGGGGTCATTGAGTTTTTTATTTTATTTAATACATAAAAAAATCCTTTAATTCAACAAGGATGCTTTAAATTGAATTCCGACCTCAAACTTCTGAATGGTAGTGTATATATTTTGGTAAAAAAAAAAATTATAATTGTATTTATTTATTTATTTTTTTCAGATGTCATAAAAAACATTTTGAACTCAACTGCAATGGATGACTTAGACCACAGTGTGCTGATAGCAGAGCAGGACTGGGACTGTTTCTGTACAGACAGTGAGGAATGTTCTGTTCAGCAGGCCAAGCTTGCAGCCTTAGATGAGTCTGGCTTCAGTGACACTGACGATGACAAAACCTCTGTCCACGTGTCATCTCTTTCCAGCCAGACCAGCCCTGATCAACTCTGTGAGAAAGATAGTGTAGAAGTACAAAAACAACAACAAATAAGAGAATGTAAATTAGAACATACATCTGAGCACTCAGAGTTTACTGAACATCCTAAACCAAATGCAGAGCCACAGAATACCAGGTCCGCTGAGCAGATGTCCGATACTGGAGCAAATGAACCAGGGGCTACATGTGAATGTCACAACAAAGCTAATGAAGACAGCAACCTGAATGGTGAGAATCAATCAAGCCAAGCCACAACCAAGCCAGTCTCTGAAATCTCTATAGAAGATATAAAGCATGAAAAGAGAAAGGATGGTATAGAAACGTTAACTGAGGAGACGGACTGTTCACCAGTGGCCCAAAAAGAGAAGGAACGTTGGTTTGTGACCGTAAATGACAGCCCAGTCCGCCTGAGAGTAAAGGATCCCAACTCGGTCAAAAAAAAAAAAAGATGGAAAAAAAAACCTTCTAAAAACTTTAGACAGAATAGCGGAGTGACAGAGAGGTGTTCTTCCTTAAATAACAATACAGAACCAGATAAAGAAATTACTGAGAGACAAACAACGCAGGACAAATTTGAACAAGAACATTTTTCTTCTGACTCACCCAATATTCAAAACGTACTTCATATCCAAGATGTTAAATGTATTTCGCCCCCTGGATCACCTGAGGATGAAGGGGGAAAAACAAGCTGTCCTATTAGTCTAAAAAAGAAAAGCATGTCAGAAATGCCAGAAGCTAACTTGCAAAGAAATCCTGCCGACTCCCTAAATTCACAGACCATATTTAAAGATCTCAGTGGCCCTTTGCCACAGTACTGGGATCGTGAAAGCGCTGTGTGTGATAAATATGACAAATCCATAGTAGATATTAACTGTGAATGTCAACATTCAACTGATAATTTAAGCCACTTTAATAATGACACAGGGGTGGAAAGTCAGAGATTTATTCTGGGTGCCTCTAAACCCTCTGCTCCTTCAGATACTGAAGGAGAAAAAACAGAACAGCAAGAGCCCTCGGGACAGACTTATAATAGAGAAGAATCATCCCAATCGTCCCAAGAGACACAATCCTCCAGTAACAGCGCCAAGACTTCAGGTCCAACTCGACCCATATTTGCCATTTCCTCATTTTGGGATGAAATGGAAAAACTGACAATAAATGATATTTTGCAACTTAGAATAGCCAATAACAGGTCTCTACTGACAGAAAGCATCATTCCAGAAGAAAGCAGCCCTGTGGTCGCTGTCGATGCTCAGCTTCCAGATAGGGGTGAGGTGGAATCTAAAGATGATAGTTTAGAAGATGGCCTGGTAGACGACGCAGCAGATTCAGACTATTTCACACATTTGGATGACTCTAAACCAGACAGATCGAGCTGTGAATTCTCAGCTTACTCTGATTTCGATGATGAGTTTCTACAACTTCTTCATGCAAGTGCAAACCCTAGCCCTGAACCCCTTGAAGGCAAAGAGCAAACCCAACGTTTTCTTGAGTCTGGCATAGATTCAGAAGAAACTTGGCCAAGTGAATCAAATGAGATGGTGAAGCTGTGTCCTGAGAGTGATCCCTCACTATATTTGTATTCAGAGACAGAAGCAGAAATGCAGGATGTATTTTTAACAGCTAAAGAAGACAACAACATGAATACCTTTCTATTGGACCACTGTAGCACAAGGAGATCAACGCCATCACCAGTTTTATCGATTTCTGATATTCTAGACGATCAGTGTCTGCTGTCTTTCTTCGAAATCTTGAGAAGTGACACCAAAGCAGAGCAATACCAAACTTGGATCCCAGAAAGTAACACTTCGCTTTGTTTTTCACAGAGCTTATCTGTGGCTGAGACTTATGATGACTTCTTCTCAGATTTTGAAGTTGGGAATGTTCTCTTTCCTTCAGTTCAAGTTTCAACAAAGAGCGAGAAAACATTGGTACCGATCTATTCCTCTTCTCATTCAGTGGTGAAAGACCTAGAATTTCCAGAGGTAGAAGAGGTGATACAGTCGGATTGTGAAGACGAGAATGCCCCAGTCCAAGTTATGAGGTGTACAAGCCCTTCTGAAACATCAAACATGTGCTTTATCACTAGTCGGAGAAGTACCTGGAGAAAACTTTCTCTGAGACACACAAAACTTCTAATGGGAAGGACCTGGTATAGGATGGCCACCTCTTGGGGTTTTCCCAAGACAGTTGACACAGTCTACAGTTATAGAACAAGAACATCATCAAGTTCTTCTATAGCTCAGCCAATGCTTCCAGAGCTTTTCCTAGACAACCAGGCCCTTGAACAAACGACAGAACATCAGATACATGTTGGGGCAACTTTTGCAAATGCAGGTACAATCTTAAGGGCATTTTTTAGATCAAATAGATATGAAAATGTCAAGTCAAACACTGCAAAATTCTGCTTACAGATAGAGATTGCTTCCTTTTTTCATTAAAGCAAGCAGACATGTGCCTTGTTTGCATTGCTTTTGCGTCTTGGGCACTGAAGTCAAGCAACCCACAATCTAACGACATGTGGAAAGCAGGTAAGAACGCCATGTGGATGGTGTATTTCTGCAATAAGACACAATGATCAGGCTGTTACATATTAAATTAGGCAATTTATTCAGATAATATGAGCACACAAAATTAACATGATTGTTTTTCCCTCTATTATTTTTCAGCTCTTCTGGCAAATGTGAGTGCGATCTCTGCCATCCAGTACTTGCGGCGATATGTAAAAGAAGGATGAACCATAAAAATCTAATATTAGAGCTTTCTGAGGATTTCTCACAAGGGGCCAGTGTACAGGAAAGGGTTAATTTTGCACAAATTCACAACAAACACTTTAGTAAATACACATATTAGATTGTATTCCATATTTACTAACAGTCTAATATTTTCATGTTTAATATATTCATGTTACAAAATAGGTGTTCAATCAATAAATAACTTATCAAAGGACAATTTTGTTAAAAAAAAAAAAAAAAAGCATACAAAGCAAAGGAGAAAACATTCGTTTTTCCCCCCATACAAACACTTGTTCAGTTAGAAGACATATATTGCTTTAGATATGATGTTGATATGGACCAGAAATGAAAACTGGTAAGTTTTGCGTCAATTATATTCAGGACTCAAGCTGTGCTATACATATTTATGTAACTAACAAGTAAACTGTTTTGCAGTGTACATATAAAAAACATTTTCAATGATAATCACTCTAGATGCATCTATTAAATGCATAAACATCATGCGGCCAAAGCTTTAAAAAAAAGTTCATATAGTTTTTCAGTGAAGAAACAGATTTGAGCACATTTCATGAAGAATATAAATTTGCACATAAAATATAGTTGGAAGTTCAGGAGGTATCAGAAAGTGCCAGAAAAATATGACTGCTGCTGAGTGTCAAATATTTCTATCACACATAAGCAAAGACTGGTGTCAGTGTATTAAGTGTATATGAAACAGCCTCACAAAATTATGCTTACAAATAACAAATGAATTTATTACTAAAAGAAAATGTACTGATGAAAAAATGAAAAGATCCGAGTTGACTGTGTTCATATGACATGATAAAGGATGAGTAAAAATAATTCTTTAATAATAATACTTTTTGGCAGTTTTGGAAAAAGTGACCCATCAAAGTTCCACAATAATGGCATTAACAGATAACACTCATCAACTGTCTGCTTCAACACACAAAACAATGGCACTACATTTCATGATTTCTATTGTTATTTTAACAATTAATAGTAGTGCACAACAATACACTTGTATTGCATTAAACCATCACAAAATTACTCTTTCTCTCTCTATTGTGTTTATAATGAATTTCATCTTATTGTGAGAATGCTGTGCTCTTTCCCAACCAGCCTGCCTATGAAAATGTAACTTACTAAACAGTAGCCTGGTTGTTTAATTGGCCAAGTGCACATGCTAGGACTGAAACTGGTATTGAGGATACCGTTAAATATGCCATATGCATTTTATTGCTAACTGTAGGTACCTCTCCATAAATTAACTTCCTAAACTTCTGTGCCAAGTAGGGAGGACCCAGAAATTGACCTGCTCTATCAAATTGTGTCCTTAAGCATGGCGGTAAACACTGCAAGCAGGTGACTGTTGGCCTGATCAGTCTTCCACAGCATCGTATGACCATGGCAGTAAAGCGACTGTTCTGCAGAGCTGGATAAGCTCTGTTCCCAGACAGTGGAAATTGTCCCATTAATTATCCCATTAATAATGTAGACCTAGATTTGGTCTACATTATTAATTCAAAAAAAGTTAAATTGCTAAAAAAAAATAAGGTGTGGAGTTTACTACAGGTAGGCTTTACTGTATATTGATGAGCACACTGAGGTATAGATGAAGAGGCTGTCAGAGAAAGGGAAGGATAGAGAATGTAAAGCATGCACTTCTTGCACACAGGTCATCTGAAGTTTTTGTATCCAAATCTATCATTACATCTTTTAAATTTCAACAGTTAATATATTATTTCAAACATATATTTACAATCTTAAAACGAATGTTTCAGTAAACTTTGAAACTAAATTGTGATAAACTCTGGATATTGGACAGCACTTTTCAAATACTTAGTAAATCTACAGTACTGTGCTTTTAGCACAATAACAACATTACGTGGGAATTTAATTTCTTACAGAAACTTCTAAATTACAGAAATTTCTAAATAGTGTTCATGCAAGGAAAGCAAATTCGCTGTGCTCCTAAAGGCTAGTTATTTCATACATCACAAAGGAGTCGGTCAAATGTTTATAAGTGCCAAAACAGGGATAAACCCACGCTGGGTTTTCGGAAATAAAAGGCCTGATACCCTGAACACAGAATCACTCTGTAATCCACAGTGGAGGATTTGTTCATTTCAGGACTGCTTGTCTCCCTCTTTCTTCAGACGGCTGTCAAATAGACAACAGAACAAAATGTTCAGTGTACTGTGGGGTGACAAATTTCACAGTAAACACAGCTTAGTTGCTTTATAGGCACTAAACGTGATCCGTGCATGCTACTTTAAAGAATTTTTTTTTTGAAATCTTTCATCAAAACATCTTGCTAAAGGCTTTTTTACTCATGCACTCTAGAACAGAACGTTCATGTGGTTCACCTGTAGTAGTCTTCTTGGCTGGGGAGAGGAGCACTATGTAAGTGTGCATGTCCATGTAGCCACTGCTGCTCCAGTGCCAGCCTCTGCAGCTCTGCTGACTGTGCCTGCATCGCCTGCAACTGATGCGCAGCTGACATCGGAGCCAGGGGTCCTGGTAACTCTCTGGGGAATGGTGCTCCTATTAAAGAAAAACACAGAATATCTTACTTCGGTTACTCTTCCCTCAAATAACAGAGAACTATTTCCTACCGTGGGACTGTAATGTGTATGTAGATGCTGGATGGTCTTGTGAAGTAACAATAAAGCAACAACAGGTTGACAAACATTATTGCATTACATTAGGGATGTACATTTCAGCCATTTTGGCTCTTTGAATAATAAAAGTCACAACTGATTATTATCAGCAGCAAAAGACTGGCCCAGACAGACTCTATAGACACATTTTAAACTGATTTGGAGGGGAATATTCAATGTTTGTATTAATATTAAATTATATACAGTTAAACATTTTGGGGTCTCTTTTTAAAAAAAAAAGTATTTATTACTTTTAAATTAAATTAAATGAATCAAAGTGACAGTAAAACAATTATAACATTACAAAAGATTTAAATTCTTCTGAAGTTTCTATTCATCAAAGAATCCTGGAAAAAATGTATCACAGTTAACACAAAAATATTAAGATGCACAACATTGATAATAAATGTTTCTTGAGCACCATATAAGCATATTGGGATGACTTCTGAAGAATAATGTGACTCTGAAGACTACAGTAATGGCTGCTGAAAATTCAGCTTTGCAATCACAGAAATAAATATCCTTTTAAAATACATTAGAATAGAAAAGTTATTTAAAATAAAATAAATCTTTGATCAAATAAATGCTTGTTGATCTTAAGAGACTTTCAAAAACATCTCACTGACTAAAATATAAATATAATAAATACATTCAATCTTAATCTTAAATATTAATTACACAGAATGGATTTAAACATGGTTAAATGTGTTAAAAGGAGCTGAGAATACTTCATTCTTATTGGCTGCTGAAAGCTTAATATTTAATAAAGAATCATGCAAGTAATGGAGATATGGCTAATCAAAGGGGAGGGTGTTTCAATTCTGCTCAGCAGTGGACATGGGTTACGTTTGGGCCTGGCTATATGAGTTGGAAATGTTAATCATTCAGAATTAAAGGCCCGTTCACACCAAGGACGATAAAGATAACGTTAAAGATATAGTTTTAAAAATCGTTCTCAATATTAAAGAATAGCAGAGTCCACACCACAACTATAACGATAAAGACAAAGAGAAATTATATAATTGGAATCACTTTCAAAATGATTTTTCTCAAGCTGATGAACGATAAAAAAAATTGACAGCCAATCAGAATCCATCATGCTGTAATGAGCTCAAGAATTTAAAGCGGCAGACGAGCGTGTGCTTAGAATAAACAGACGATATCGTTCGCTGGTGCGGACGCTAATATCGTTATCTTTATAGTTATTTTTTTATGTCGCTTTTCCACTGCATGGTACGGCACAGTATGGCTTGGTACGGTTCACTTTTGGGGGGTTTTACACTGGGTACAGTACCTGGTACTTTTTTTAGTACCATCTCGGATGAGGTTCCAAGTGAACCGTGATGTTACCAAAACATGACGTGTAAACTCTGCTGATCAGATTGGCCGGAGAGAATCGTCACTACCTGCATCACTGAACTTGCTACACAAACACAACAGACCCGCTAGATTTAAATCATCACAGCCAGCGAAGTATCGAACGCAACTGTTTTGAACGAGCGCAGCTTTTTTAACAACCAAAAATGGCTGTTTCGTGGTCTGTTGAGGAAGTACAGACATTCCTCTCATTGATAGAAGAGGAGCGGATCCAGCGAGAACTTGATGGGGTGGAATGAAAAAGTTTTTCAGGAGTCGCGGCAGTAGAGGCAGTGCAACTATAACATGTGAATAATCCCGCCCACTCTAAAGCGATACTACACTGCAGTGGAAACGCAACCCGAGCCGAGCCGTGCCGTACTGAGTCGTGCCGAGCCGAGTCGTACCACGCAGTGGAAAAGCGCCAATAGTTATCGCTCGTGGTGTGAACGGGGCTTAACTCTAAACTTTCTTTTATCCTAAAAGTGAAACAGGGAGTCTATTTGGTGACTCACCAAACAGAGGGTGGCGGAGCATTTCATGCTCATGGGGTAACTCACTGAGTAGGGGGTTGGAGATGGCACCAGGTGAGTAGGGGAATCGTGCCAGAGGGGGGCCAGCAGCCAATGGGTCCACCAGAGGATGAGGCCCTTGGCCTGAAAGACAAATATATTGACATTTCCACTTACTTTCTTGAAAAAAATGTGATCTAGATAAGTTCTCACCTTGGTTGAGAGGGTCCTGTTGGTGCAGATGAAGATGGGAGTGTACATGTGAGTGTTGGTGGTGGTGTGGTGTAGCATTGAGCATCTGTAGCCGTGCAACAGGGTCACCAGCAGCAACAGAGGCCATCCTTTCAGCATGGAGCCGTTCAGCTGTCAAACGCTCAGCATAGCTGATTTCTGGCCGAGGGGGTGCCGCTACGCTGCGGTCCATGGCTGGGTGGAACTGGGCGAAGGGGTGAGGCCCAGTCACATGAGACAGAGGCAGGGCACCATGGCGGGCAAAATGCTCCATGGGATTTGCCGACGGATGAAGTGGGTTCTCCAGCTCTGGCGGTTTCACCTCAAATCCGGGCTTCATTCTTTCTCGGATCTCTCTCTCTCGAAGCTCACGAAGCTCTCGCTCTCGAAGGGCTGGGTCTACTGCATAGAGCCCTGGCATGTGATAAGCCAGCAGGTGCTCACCTGGCCCAAGCTGCATGAAGAAAGGATGGTTGCGGTTGGTGGGAGACATGACGTGGGGGCGGGCGTACTCGCTGAGTGTGCGGAGGGCTGGAGTGTCAGGGCCGAGATATGGTGGAACTGCAGCCACAGTGGTGGGGGGAAGATGTTCGAATGACGGACGGCCCGGTTGCACATGGGCAGAAAGCAGGTGTTCCACTATTCGGCCATCGTGAGATGAGCATGACGCACGCTATGTGAAGAAAAAAAAATGTTTTATGAAAAAACAAAAAAGGTTTTATATCATAACCTTCTTTAAAGAGAGATTCTTTATCAAAATAAGTAAAAAGTGATTTTAAAGAGAAAGCATATCTGTGACTGGCAAACTATATTACATACATTTTTGTAAAAGGATAAATCTCATAAAAGCATGTTGGGGACATATTTCACCACAAAAGCAAAACCACAAAAAGTGGTTATTCTTCTTTGCAAAGATTTTTTTTAAATTCAGTTTTCTTAATATTATATTCATTCATTTATTTATATTTAAATTCAAAATAAATTCACAAATTAATAAAAAAGCATTAACTTAAAGATCGCAAAACAAATACTATAATGATATATAAATACTTTATAATTTCATTTTTTTTTTTGGATTACAGTACTTGGCATGACATTTTTCACATTACAGTAAAACAAATTTGAGGGGAAACTGCCATAATGTAAAAAAATAAATAAACTAGCTAGAAATAGTTTAAGTAAATCATAGTTTACTTTTTTTAAGGGTGAAATTCAAAAGTAAACACCACATATACTTACAGAGGCTTTATCAGAGTCTCTCTCCCTTTCTCGCTCCCGCTCTCTTTCTCTCTCTCTCTCCCTCTCCCGCTCTCTTTCTCTTTCCCGTCCCTGTCGAGCGCTCAGCTCTGCTTCTCTTCTGGATCTTTCTGCAGCTTCCTCTCGTTTTTTGGCCAATTTTGAGGAGGCCAATGGGGTGAAGTACAGGTCTGTGCGAGAACAGGAGTTGTAACCTCGGTTGAGGTGTTTGATGAATCTGCAATTGACAAAACAGAATTTACTATGTATGCTGAATATGTGCTATGTATGCACAGTTATTCAAATAAATGTTACATCTTAGTGAATGGCATTTTGAAATGTTTTCAAAATGAAATTCAATTTCCTTAATGATAAAAAATAAGTAAATTTAAGATCTTTTTGGAATATAAATAAATATTTTAGACTACTACATTGGGAAAACTTATATATATATATATATATATATATATATCTGTATATTTTTTTATTTAATAAATATTTAAAATTTCAAATATTGACAAATGT